CCAAACAGCCTTGGCTAATTCATAGCCGCAAAGTTGACTGATCGTTGCCTGCGTTCTTTGGCTCCGCTTCGTTGATCGTCTTCAAACGGTATACGAACCAAAGTAATACTCCTAACATTCTTTCCCTCGTGATTATAACCCTCCACCAAACAGCGAAAGACCGYTGTAAAAGATATCTTGAAATATAGAATGTTCGCTTTTATAGAGCTGATCTAGCAATCATCTAGTAGAAAATCTAAAGGTTATAAACAGAAGTCCCGGATTATAAATCTATTGCGCATGCCTCGCAACCTCTCTTGACGTCACCAAACACTATTYGTACCAGGGATTTTTTACACTTCCTATTTGGCACAGGAAGCCCAAATACCAATCTTCACGATTAAATATCTCGGCCCCGTTTTATCCGATCGCATTATAAAACACCTTATTTTAACCCTTAGACCCCTGAAAATCGATCCAAATTTGTGTCATTTTAGGGGCTATAAGCACTTTAAGTTAATGAATAATGTTGGAAATATCAAATCGGGGGTGGCTACTAAGTTACGTTGCACATTTTCTTAACGGCGTTTTCAAAAAATCTTTGGGGGAGGGGTGGGTAGTTTTCAGTGTTTTTTTTTTTYACATRGGAGAAAATTTCATTAAAATCATCAGTAGCACTTCGAAACTCACTTTTTTATTCATTAAATGTTAGTTTGAGAAGTATTTAAGACATTTTGAGCTGTTTGACTCAATGCTTAGTTTTTTTAATGGCATTTTGAAAAAATCAAGATGGCGGTCCAAAATGGCGGATCCCAAAATGGCAGATATTCTTCTCAAAATCGCTTGCATGTTTTTTAAAAATGTAAAAATTGTTTAACCTCAAAAACTTCTGAAACTGTAAAGTTTACCATAAAATACCGATATAGACAAAACAAAATTGCGATTGGAGTCAAATTATTCAAAGACGACGACAAAGCCACTATAGGAAATGACGTCACCACAATTATTACGTCACAACTGTTACCGTGGATACAAAACGAACCACAACATCACAGGAGAGCAGTAACGCCTAAATATGATATTTAACTAGTTATCTAGATATGGATACATAATTTATAAAATTTATCTGATATCTATGACGTCATTGTGACGTCATATAGAACGGGGGTCAATTAAAAAAATATTATTTTCAAGTCATTTCAATAATAAACAGATGATATTGCAGCATTCTCTATGGCATTGTATGCAATTTATTAAAATAAATTATACATCGTTAAAATGGTGTAAATTACGTCATTGTGACGTCATTATTGTGTTATGCTATTGGTTTTTCCATTTTTTTCCTAATTTTCTAGCTTAGATAATGTCAGTGTTTCACGTTTGGAAGTTGTTTCTCTATATCATATCTTTGACAAGAAACTCAACAGGCATTATTTTTATTCATAATTTTGTTAAAAAAATGCCTCTCCCTCAAAAATGTCATCCCTCACCAAACACACATTCACAAAAACGCGTCCCTTCCTACAAATTTAGTGGTCCTTCCAACTCCAATAAATAATGAAACAGGACAAGCATGAAGATTAGTGTCTTATTAATTGTTAAATGATATCATTTAACAATTAATAAGAAACTAAGCTGCATGCTTGTCTTGTAGATATCAATTCGGGAAAAGAATGCATTGAATATAGCGTTCTGGATTCTATTGGACGTAGAAAGGACTCAAAGCCACACTCTACTATGACATCCGACAGTGCCATCATTTCAGTAAACGTATGGTATCGTGTAACGGGGTATGCTGGGAATCAGATTTCAAATCTTTGGTCTCGGTATTTATTCTGTGGTGGAGACAACCCAAGCTGGATAAATGGATCTATGCCGACTTTTGCTCAGGGTAGAGTAATAAGGACAATCTGCACCTCTTTAAGAGGAAAGAGTTACTGTGTGAGAAGTGGAAATGTCACTATACGTAATTGTGGTGGATACTTTGTTTATCGCTTTCCTTCAACGACCTTTCTGTTTGGACATAATGCTAAAGTGTGTACAGAGTACAGTAAGTATGTTAGTGTTTATTACACTCCAATTTGACTTCTTTTTTATTTGTCTACAATACATATTCATCTATAGTATCTAGGGATTGTTTATAGTACTTAATTTAGCAAGCTGTTTGGTCTACTTTGTCGTGCCGTGATCTAGTCATTTTAAACTTAAAAGTTTTCACGATATAAAAACATTTTACGTCCATTGGAAGCTAGACTTTCTGAGTACGTATATATAGGAGCGCGGCCCTTCCACCATGTGTACTGTTAACGGCGGAGTTGTCTAGCTATTTCATTGAATGTATACTCGGTTCATTTATATAGGTTTCATCAAACTAACAACTACTGCAGAATGGCAAAACTGGATATATAATACAACTCTGGAAAGCTGGAGGATCCTAAGTAACAAACAGTTTATCTCCGTTTCAAGATCCATGAAGTCTGATAAAGGTATAATAAATATGTTAAGTGTGTGCAATTAAACTTTGAGACAGCAAATTACATTTACATTAGAGCCACCTGTAAGTCACAACTGTTTCCCAGCAAGAAATTCAGGAAAAAAGAACTCTCCATGCAAATAATGTTTTTTTAAGAACTTTCGCCAACAAATAAAAATTTACTAACTAAATAAATGACAGCCGTTTTTGACCATGAAAACGTTTTATAAAAGCCTTTTTTGACCTTAAAAACGTTTCCCAGAAACAAAATTACTTTTAAGAAGGAAGGGCGCCACATTTGCTTAAGAGATTGTCAACAATGTAGCTCAAATCCCCTTCCCAGGAAAAACATTCGTACAAGAACAGATATTTAGAAGAACAGACTCCTTTGGCTCCACCTTTAACAAATTACATTAACAGCCAGCAATATTTTACCAGGGGTATCCATCTCGCTAGTAATCTAGTCACCATCAGGTGTCCCGATAATCTATTTTTAGACAACCAATCACAACGCGCGCAGATATAACACGCCTGATTGGTCCTTGTTGATACATTTTAGTCGAGGCGAACGAAAACCATGTCTTAATAGCCGACTTGCGAATTACGCATCAATAGTCACATACAAAGGAATCAAGACGAGGCGCCGTGCTTTTTTGTGAAAAATCTATTGTCTTTAGCACGGCGCCTCGTCTTGATTCCTTTGTATGTGACTATTGATGCGTAATTCGCAAGTCGGCTATTTGACACAATTTTTTTAGAACTCAATTTGATACCTTTGATCAACGTAGAAATAGAATTTCAAGAGCAATATGTGTTTTTTTTTCATTCTGAAATAGCGTGAAGTTCTATAAATTCACTGAACAATGCGTTTCTAAATGATTTTTGACAGTGACTGACAGTGTCAATTTTTTAAAAAGTGGGCATAAACAGGAAATCGACCACATTTTAGTTACCAGAGCGAATTGCTGTTTTGTTTCGATTGTAAACGACGTCTGACCTGAAACGTTTTGCATTTCGTAGACCTTTCCGTAACTTGGATGAATGGACACACGAAAGAATGGTTTCAGATCGAGGCTGACCTTTATAGACAAAAAAATCAAGATTAGTCTCGACTTGAGACAATTCTTCTCTGATTATTATGCGAATTCGGGAGAAATCTGTAGGGTTGCATGGGATAGATATAAATACCAAAAAAAACTCAATACATATGCATAATTCTTATCTAGGTCAGTACCATACTGGTCCACGACGTGATGTAGAGGTTTCATTTGATGTCCAAGCTGCAGAAGTAGATGTAGCAGCCTCCGTGACAAATGTAGAAGAGTCTTTCACGATGTGCTTTTGGATATCTTCGAATTCAACTATGCCGAAAAAAAAGAGGATTGAGATTGTTTTAAAATTATTATATACTACTTCAAACAGATGGTATATTTTCTTTCACGGCCGGTAAGTTATATATTTATAACTCTCAGAATCCCATTACTAGGAGCGTCCATGTCCTAATAATTAATACAGGGTTGTCAAAGCGTTTTCACAGACGTGATATTTTTAGATTTTTTTTTACCAATGAGGAGTCAGTCACTGGGCACGCGCGCGCGGTAAATGTACGGCAAACATCGGGCGCGGGTATGAAGAAATAAACAATGGCAGACTCAAACCTATAATTTAAAACGCTTTGGTTAAACAAGAATTCCGGCAGATTTTGTCCCTTTAGAGTACCATCCTGAATTGACATATTCGAATTCATCATTCTTATATCCACGATTCCTGTTAGCCACAGAGCCGATACACGTTAGTCTGTCAAGCGACTGCATGCCAGTGTTTCTATATTGAAGTGATTAAAAAAATACAAATGAATATTTTCCATTACTTATACATCGAAACTGAGCATGCTTAGCTTCCTCGATAACTTCACCTGCCATGACTTTTATGACTACTACAAATAATTAATCTTCACTGGATGATGTCAAGTCATGTGTAAACGATTTAGTTTGTCTAGCTCATTCACTTCGATTTAAACTGAGTTTTAAAGTGTGGGTACGATGAAAGCTGAAAACGAATTCGAGCTGTCTTTTTGGACATATACCTCTTTATGGAGATACAAATAAGTATTTGTGAGGATTTTCTTATAAGTAATAGCATGGCACTGAGGGAGATTAGGGATTAAATGTCCCCGAAGCCGAGGGCAGATAAGTTGAAGTCCCGACGGCCGCAATAATACCATGATTTCCGAGGAAAAAATTGAAGTTGAACTTGAGCGAATTTGAATTCTTGTTTTTTTCTATGCTCCAATGTTTTCAATCGGAAGTAATATAAACATTGCTACAAACAATTAGCATGAATTGGAATGTGACATGAAAAGAATTGATACGCACTGTTCTAAGAGTATCACTCGCCGAACAACAGTACAAAATGATATTGATAATCCGACCATTGTTACTGATTTCCCACAACGAACTTTGTTTGAAATTGCTTTTCAGTTCTATTCAATGCTGAAGTTAACGAACCTTAACTTCAACCTCGAAAAGTTGTTTCTATATTTGCAAGTATAATGCCAAGAGACTTATCAACTATTATCAAACATTGAAATTCGTCAAGTGCACATGCTCAGCGGTACGAAGTAGAGACCCGGAACCAGAGCTACTCGGTCAAATTGGCCCAAAAATCATCCCACATTTCAGTGTGACTGAGATGATAACCAGACCGTTCATTGCAGAGGTAAAAAGAAGACAGCTGTAGGGACATTCAGTTGTCCCTGCTGGGAAGCAAAGGTTTCCTTTGCCTTCCGTTCCTCATGAATAACATGAGGGACGATTACTGGTAATCGTCCCTCATGTTATTATGCATGAGGGACGATTACTAGTAATCGTCTCTCATGCTATTCATGAGGGAAGGATGTTCGCTTGTAAACATCCCTCGGAAGACAAAAGAATCCGAGGTGATTATGGTATCATTATAGATATAACATTGAAAAGCAGGAGAAATCGAGCTCTGAAAGTCGTTTTTTTCCTGTCCGCCATTAAGGTGACTTTAACCCTTCGCGGCGGTAATTTTGACGATTCCTTTTTGTTAACAGATTACTTCACATGGAATTTAATCTTTCTAATTTCAAAAATTCGAAAGTGACGGCTATTTCTAAAAGGAAATCTAAAAATAGCCGCGTCCGTGAAAATGCTGTGACCAAACCTTATGCACAATATGGAAGCTCTTAGTATTGGCCTACTGTAACTCTAATAAATATTTAAGCCTCTGCTCACAAGGTGCAAGCGCTTAATATAAAGATGTTAAGCATAAGGAAACTTCGTCTGCAAATGAGGTGACGCCCGCGTGAGAGGAGCACCATAGCTAAGAAAAAATGTACATCAATCGAGTCCATTTTTTATGGACTGACAAAGAGTTCCCGCGCGTACGCACGTTTCCTTCCTTTCATCATAGGCCGCCCAACCATTGCTTGAGATACAGAAAAGAACGAATGCGCCAACTGTTATGTCATCTGCGCGTGCTCTCAGCAAAATGCGGATTACCTGTGCTATTACGTCACGGTCCCGTTCCTCGCAGGTCTACACTAGTCTGTGACAAGGTATGAAACACCGGTCACGTGACAAATCTAATTTTGCTCCTATTTCTCCAAAGATAACAGTAAACGACAATTTAATCTACAAAAATGATGTGTACTATGATTTTCTAACTACTTCATGAGTTTGAGTGTTTGGGTTTCTTTTTATATATATTATATATATTATATTATTATATTATTATTATTTTATCATATTGTATTATTTACGGCAAGAAAATGATAATGGAGCATTTCACTAGCCATGAACCGATGTGTGCACCAGGTAGATGGGACACTTTTTCGGAGAACGCTCGGGTTTAAACATTCGCAAAGGCTTGGGAAGGTCTCGGGTGCTGTTGCAAAGTACGAAAGTTAAACGAAAGTACTTTTGTAGCTGTCGACGAAGGGTCGGCTTTGGTGATACAAACTTGTTACGGATTGCTTGCGTGCTGACACGCCATATTTTCCGCCACACCTTCGGTGAAAGTTCGCCAACCCGTAGAATCTTCGTTTTCCAAAAAAGTGTCCCATCTACCTGGTGCACACATCGATTCATCACGTGACCGGTGTTTCATACTTTGTCACAGATTACTAGTGGAGAGCCGCGAGGAACGGGATCGTGACGTAATAACACAGGTAACATACAGATAACAGATAACATACAGATAACATAACAGTTTTCGAGGTAGGGTTGTCGTACGTATTCCATATATGGTATTAACTAACAAGCGTATTATAGAGGCCCCTAACAAGCGAATAGAAGCACCTAACAAGCGAATAGCGGCCCCTAAGGAATCCCAATTTACCGGTGCTATTAGCAATGCAAAATACTTTAAATGTCACAAACAATTCGTTGTATGCCAGCGTAATCTCTCGTGGTCAAGTTAGTTAAGGCGCTTTACATTTGTAGTCGAAGGGTTAGGTTTAGGGAAAAGGACGGGTCAGGCTATAAAATGTTACATTCATAATTCTAAGTTAAAATTTGATAAGAAAATTTCTAATAAGTAGCTAAGAAGCTCGAATAAATCGATAAAAAACTGTAGAAAAATATACAAGTGAAAAAAAGTTTGGACCCCTGTTCGCTGTTAGGTGCTTCTATTCGCTTGTTAGGTGCTTCTATTCGCTTGTTAGTTTGTGCCATATATGGAATACGTACTACAAACCCGCCTCCAGTTTTCTCTCTCTCAAGCAATGGGCGGCCTATACTTTCGTTTTTCGTTCTGGGCGTCGTGTACCACCACAGGAAATCCATACTCAGCGCGAAAAGGAAGACGAAAGCGCGAAAATATTTTTTTTTGTCAAACATTTATCTTCGTTTTCTATACGGGATCGTGCCGCTGCCCAGGGTATGGTTTTTGGCCTTGCTGTCTTAAACAGGTTATACATTTTCACCCAAAATTGTTTTAAACAGGCTCTAAAATTTAGATCAAAGACGGAAGTATAAATTTTGTGTGTGTCTTGGACAGAGTAATATTTCCACAAGAAATACCGTAGAAATAGTAGAAATATGATGCGATGTGATACGATACAATATGATAACTTTATTTATCCACGGTAAATCCTTCAGCTAAATACAATAATGGAAATATTTAAGAGAAAAATATAATAAGCAATATAATCTATCTATCTATATAAAATATTGAATGCAGATAAAATCCTGCTTTACAAGGATGCCGTGCTATAGTGATAACGAGACCCTGTATGCAGAGTTAACCTGTGCCCTACATGGTTTTGGTTTGTTGAGGCTGAAGTATTTTGTGGTATTCATTTGGTTCGCCTTCTACGTCATATATTACATTGGATCGAGATCACGTCACTAGAAAACACGGTGTGTAAAGATGTGCAGGCTGTCAATCTTATCTTGAATTGCATTCTATAAGACAGTGTGACGATATGCGAACGAAAATAAATGTACAGCAAAAACGTACAAATCGGGTGCTATTTATAGTTAGGCATTGTTGGGGGAGTGATCGCCGGAAGTTGATACAAGCTTTTGTATGCAATGACTTTCATTGGACTATTCATTTACATACAGCCTTTTGCAAAAATTATGAGAATTGTTGAAATATCTAAATATCATAGTATCAAGTGCATGATGGGTAATCCCACGCAATGCCATTAGTCCCTTGTCTTTGTAATTTAGTTTTTTTTTTGGCGACAGACTTATCCGTAGTTCTGAACATTTTCTCGATGTAAACAATGAATTATTCTAGCAAACCTGCTTGTTCCGGACAATATATGGATATGGATATTATGATATTTAGATATTTAGACAATTCTCATAATTTGTGCAAAAGGCTGTAAGCCGCGCCGCACTATATACAAATAGCAGCTCATTTGCATATGAAGTTCTTATGCGAAACATTTCTAATACCTGAAAGAAAAATATCTAATTTCTAGTTTGTTTTTTTAAATCTTTTCATGATTATGATTATGATTATGATTATGATTATGTCATCGTTTTATTTATTGTTATTCTGCGCAAGTCATTTTTTCACAAATTCCTTTACAGTCCTGTTTGGAGACACATATGTTTTGCGATCCAACGTGATATCCAGTTGATTTACTTGGATGGAATAGTGACGAATAATAGGATTTCCGGAGTGTATCGCAAAGGTAAGATTTTTACTAGTCATACGGCCTTGATTTGCTTCTGCAAAAAGCATTATTGCAGTATTATATCATGTGCATAAACCAAGTGAAGGTGATTGTACAACGTCTGGTTTGAATTTTGTCCATAACAATCCAAAATCCCCTCAGCGGTATGTCCCTAGGATTTTTCTATCCAGAATTGGGCAATATTTCAACGGACTTTAAATCAAACCGTGCCAAATCGTCATGTTTGTTTGCTATTCGGACTCAATTTTTGAATCCGCTCGACCCTTCATCGAGCTTGATGGACACGGCCTTTCCTGATTGGACGACAGTTACCATGGAATCAGTTCAAATACTCCCGACTACTATGGGGAGTGTAGGAAATTGTACATGGCGGTTGTACAATTTCCTGCTCCAACTGTTCATTCCTTCGGGAGACCTCCGTTAGATCCTGACTTCTACTCCCTTCTCTGCTCCACGTTTTACTGAGCACCTGACTATCGGTCAAGTCATCCACTCTACAGTCTCGAATCGACTCGGGTGTTGGTTTTAAGACATTAACCAGCGGCAATGTTTCCCTGGTGGAGATGTGCAGTGACCTCTCAGTTGTATCCCAGTAGTCACGCAGCTCAACGCCCATCCAGATCCAGAAGCATCGTTGACCAACGAAATGCGCCAGTGCTTTTCGCTCCTCCAAGGCACATGTCCCGTCCAGGTATCGAGAAACCTCTAATGCAAGACCGTCTCTCGGTGGAGCAGACATTTTCACTTCAGGACAATGAGTCACTTATCCAATAGCACTAGCAACGATGTCCCTAATGTATAACCTAGCTGCTGGCACTGCTGCCGAAATGGAGATACATTTGAATTGAAAACTTTGTAGGCTTTTGACGCTGACAATTTTCTGCTTACGAAAAATCTCCTCCCTGAGCTGAACAAACTTCTCGAGTTTTCTCGGCAGAATTTTGAAAGCTTAAATCTCGGAATCTATCAACAATCCCAGATACTCTATTTGTTTATCTGGCACTAAATTTGGCAAGGCCAAAGGAGTATCCTCACATTTCCCCATACATTAACGGTGCCTGTCTTCAGCCTTTCTAACACTAAGTCTATGATAAATTTCGTAAACTTCTTACAAGTTTTGAGGTTTGGAAGAACAGTTTTTGGATGGAATTCCCTATCATAGTTTATGCCTCTGCACCAATTATCTGTCCACGGCCCGAAGCCAAACAGAAAAACTCTGCACCTAATTATATCTGCCCAGGGACTTGAACACTTTCAATGACGGACCTACTTTGTATTTGTAACTAACGAGGCATCCTATTGAAAATCACTAAACCAAAAAGATCCAAAGAAAACACACCATTGTTAAGCGAAGCACAAATTTGTTATTCAAATGCAAGACGGTAGAATATTACGAAATCATAAACTGCCATAAAAATAAGTCGATTTATACCCCTAAATTACACGCAACAAAAACTAAACTTTGTAGTGTAAACGCTAGGCTGCATATAAATCTATGTTCAAATAACGCTTATTTAGTTGAATGACAAACCGACTAAGCACACCTCTGCGTCGTCCGCATTTTGCTCTTGTGCCTGTGGTGGAACCTGTGCTACTTGAGCCGGTGGTTCTTGCACATTTTCTGCAACGGCTTGTCTCACGACAGCTCCTTCCTCTGGCGAAACAGGCTCTTGGTCTCCCATTTAAAGAAGGGCGGCGTCTACATGATCTGTGTTACCGGGGTCTTTGTTACCAATAACCAGGAAACTTGCTCCTGGAAAGCTTCTTGAAGGCTCAATTCCCTAGGGACCACTCAATGCTTCGCATGCATAATTAAGTATATTCAAATGAGTTTGAATGGCTTGCCAGATTTAATGCATAACATTCTTGTCTTGATTGTTCTTTCTCGAACTCCAGGTAAACCATCATATTTTATAGTTGGCTTCTTTTCAAATGAAAGCATTCATTTGAAATTGACCAATCTAAATGCGTGGAATACGTTTTTGGACGAGCACACTATCCTGCTTATGAGTTACAAATGTGGAAAAGACAGAGGAAACGCCTTTGTTTGGGAAGAGAAGAATATATATGTATATACCAGTCCACGTACTCCTGTCATTTACAATAACAGAACATCCTGTTATGGAAGAGAAGGTAACTATGGAGCAAAAACATTACTGTGCGCTCGAAAAAGGATGCATTTTATCCTTTTTACCACAGCAAACCATTGGTAATAAGAGACGTTTACGTCGATCATTTACCACCGTATATGCAATATACATTGTAGGATATGTTTGGCACAGAACATGGCAGATCTATTTTGTTCTCTCTAAAAGCTGATCCAACAATGCATTGAAAATCTAGTACTGACTCAATATCAAAGTCCATTAACCCTCTGATGCTAACCCAGTTTCTCGATTTAGGGCCGTTTTTACATTCAGAGATTAACAAAACATAAGAGGTCGAGCTTTCAAACAAGCTATGATTTAATTATATTCCCTAGGTGGTGAGCGATTTCTCGAAGACAATGGTGGCAATGCGAATGCCAGATTGAATTGTTGTCGTTAGAGAAAAGTTTTATCCCAAGTCTCTCTGTAGCGGATTATATATTTAAGGCTAATCGAAGCCTTCGTCTTCTTTGATGTTTTAATTCGATTTTCCTGTTTTCGAGCAGATAGTAATGAAATGTTGAGCTTTCTGATGTTTCAGGGAACGCGCTTAGCGTTGTATCCACCACAGCCTCACCATCGTCATCACAAGCAACAATTATAAGCCCAGCATTCCCTTTGTTGCCAAGACTGGTCAAGTCTCCAGCTAGATGTCTACGATTTCGATATAGAATTTGGGGTTCTGGAGCGAGAGTATTGAAATTATATCAAATCTTAGACGACAAAATGTTCCCAAGAAGACTGATATGGATGGATGATGATAACACGTCTGGTGGTTGGAAGGAAGGCCAGGTCGCTTTCTCGGCCATAACTGACTATAAGGTATTATTTGAGAGTCTGTGGCTTCTCTAGTCATGCAAATCTATTCCCTTTGGCTATTCCTATTCAAGGCATGGCCCTTTTCCAAGATCTTGGTTCTGAGGAATAAAAGTGAGGCTTTGAATTATCGTCGATGGAGTCAAGAGAACTCGTCATAAAATATCAAAGATAAATCGTTATGAAAACTGTTGATGCAGTTGCGAAATAGCATATGACAAAAATAGACCCTAACTGAAAACATGCGAGTTTGCAGCAAACACCTTGCAGTCAAAAATATGATTATCATACCCTAACTTTATTGCTTACACAGCAATTTTCTACATCTATCATGAACATGAGAAAATGATGTGACCTAGCCAAAGCCTCGCTTTAGTTCTGCAGAATTAACATCTTGGGAAAGGGCCATTCACATGATGTTTTTGAACAGTATGAAATCTTTCATATGAAATTATAACGCCAAATTTTTTTTTAGAGAGTTATTATGAGCTTTTCGCTGCGACTTATCGCTTGGGTCACCTTTTATTTGCTGTAGATCGACAGGCGCAGGTTTTAAATTTTTTTTATAATGCACTAACGTTTGATTGTGGTTTGTAGCTGGTCATTGAGGGCCAAACTTCAAATTTACCAGGTCTGATATCAATTGGGGCCTTGCATACCACTGAAGAATACTGTGCTATCCTACCTACTTCAGCAGAAAAAGGTATGTTATATTTTTCGAAAATATCATATAAAAAAAGATGGATGAAGTCGAGTAAATGTTTATCGTTTCCAAATGTGTCTTGTCCATGATTATAGGCGACACAAGAGTTCTGATCTCCTCAAAATTCATTGCAATCTCAAAATAACTACCAATAGGAAATTATTACTTTCAATTTCAGCCTGCAGTAAAGTCTTCACAAACCCCTCGGGCATCATCACGTCTCCATGCTATCCGAGCTACTATTGGAACAACGCTAGATGCAACTCCACCATCAAAGCCAAGCAAGGTCACGTGATTCGTCTAGATATTGATGAGTTTGAGCTGGAAATGAGTACACGGTGCGAGAGTGCCTCACTGGATGTGTATGACAGGAGCACACGAATTGGTCGATATTGTGGAATAAGGTAAAAGAATTTAAACATGTTATCACTTTTACATACACGTTCCAACACATGCACAATTTCACGGAACAATATATAGGTACCTATTTGTTGAAAAATCGGAAATCTACCCCAGGAATACATCATGAAGAGCACGCTCTCCAAACGTAATACACACACACAAAAAAAAAATAAAACAAAAAACAACAACAGCAAACAAAACAGCAAACAACATATTCTGCACAACTTTAGAACTTCTTTACGAAGTATGCTATACTAATCGTTCTGCATTTTTCTTTTCTTTTCTAGCTACCCACCAATTATTCAATCGACTTCAAACCAACTTTCAGTGATTTTCCGATCAAATGCACAAATTTCCCGTGTAGGGTTCATGGCCACTTATCGGATTCTGAAAGGTACAATCATCTGTGATCATAGCGCAGACGTGCATAGTCGTAGGGCTGATATTTTTCAGATGTGTCGTTATCTCAATAACGCATAATGTGACTAATTTATGAAAATGGAGTTGAGAAGAATAAGTCATAAAACTAACGTTCTGCTGACATCAAAGCTTTTGAGTCTTTACCCTTATGTTTATACACTAATACTACTTCAACACCAACCCCGTACCCTTACAATATTCAGTATGGTTTTTGCTTGAAATTCCAAACGAAATTATTTTATATGGAAATGGATTCAATTGAAACATAAGCCTATGCTTCAGACGCAAGCCTGCAGACAGCAACATTTTGCAATCACATTCAAACAATAATCGATAAATAGCTTTCCAAGACATGATCTCGATGTCGTGCTAAAGTAACGAATTTATGCCTGTTCAGCACTCTGAGACTCTGTCATGCCACCAACAGCCTGTGTGTTGTATTAAATTAACACAGAGTTACTGTAATGCCTCTTGGCTTATTCCCATTCCGATATTTTTTCGCTTACTCCCATTAATATTTGCTATATGTGAAATAAAAGTTAATTCCGCAGATTATATACTTACATACCGTAAATGATCTAATAAACTCCCCCTTCCTAATGAACGCCTCCTATCAAATGAACGCCCCCTCTATTCTTACTAGTTTGTATTAAACGCCCCTTTCTAACAAACGCCCCCTTTCTATTAAACGCCTCCTTCCCTCTCCCCTCCGTGCCACCATCCATCACTACAAACAAACGACTTGGGAATGAAGGTAACATAAAACAATTTAATTTGTCTTTTTGCTTCATTAACACTGGTAAGTGAGTAACGACTTGTTCCATTTCTAGTTCAAAATAAGGATAGCTTTCTTTAATTCTACTGATTCTACTGCTTACTATACTGTCGTAAAAGTTATAAATCATAACATGCGGTACATTACAATGTCACAGTTTTATTTTAGAATAAACGCCTCTCTCTAATAAACGCCTCCTGTCTATTAAACGCCCCCCTTGAACCATTGAAATTTAATAATTAATTTATTAGATCATTTACGGTATACTTATATACTATCATACATGTAACTGACAGTAATTCACTATTCATTCATTATTATTTTTTATTTGTTTAGATAATGATACAAGTAACGACTGCTTACAAGGTTAAGCTTGATGAACGACGATATGCTGTGCACCAGTGGCGGATCCAGCACTATTTTTGAATAATTTGCATCATAACACAAAATGGTTCAATTTCACGGATTTTTTTTTATACAAATTGGTGAACTTGTCTGGATCCGTCAGTGGTGCACCTTGTCCGATTGTAAACTCTTACATAGTAGTGTAGGGCCCATTTGCAAGGCATAATAGTGTTTGCCCCAACCATACAAAACCCAAACCCAATCCCCAACAACACTAACACAAGACCATGATTTTCACACGCACTTTAGTTCGTAATCACGTGTTTATTAAAACCTCCTCAAAACGACTTTCTTGCATCATATTTAGGGGTTTTAGGATGTTTGGAATTAAAAACATTACGAAGACCAGCAATCGGTCTTCGTAATTACGGTGGTCTTCGCAATGTAAGTGTGTGGTCAAGTTCGGTCTTCGTAAACCACTGTGGACAAACGTAAAGTCAAGCAAAGTGAAATAAGTAGACATATAGAATTATCATAATCATTGCAATTGTATCGACAATGCAATTGTATCTCGATGGTGCAAAGAAACAAAGAGCTTGTATTTGTGTTTTCAAGCATTTCTATGACTCAATTCATGATCAAAGTTCATCTAAATTGTAATTTACACTAGAGTGCACGCCACAAAAGCATAAAACAATTCTTTACTAATTAGCGCCTAATAAGATTTAGTTACAAAGACAATTAAGTTTCCTTTGTGGCATCATGTTCATGCCCTAGTGAATACTCCATTTTCGAATTCTAAGCGAACAACCGGTGTTTTATTTGACAGCAGATTCTCTTACGCAAAGAACTTACCAAACACAAAGAAAGCACGAGAAAATGTTGTACGTACAATAGCGCTRACAATTTACATTTTCCCCGAGTTGAGGCTAACCCTGTATTCCCAAAAGGCCCATACCTTAAGTCTCATGGGAATACGAAATTTTCTCGTGCTCCCTTTTGTGTTTGGTCAGGTCTTTGCGCAAGAGAATCTGTAGTCAAATAAAGCAGCGGTTTTTCGCTATCAATTCGAAACTGGAGTATTAGTTAGTTGATATCTAAATCTTTTGAGATGTTGATAGTTAGAAATTGTTTCACGCTTTTTTGGCGTGCACTCTAAAGCATCTGCAATGTACTGTTAATTTTTTGTTTTTGTTTTTGATTATTGGGAAGATCAATTCATCAACCTACAACAACTTTTTTGCAATTCAATGTATTTGGTAGTGTAGCTTTTATTGTAATTTCCTTTTCAGACTGCCCAGATGAATGTGAATGCCGAAAGTTATCAGATGGCAGAATAGTGGTCTCATCGCGAAGTCTTAATGCAGTTCCTCGTCGACTTCCACATGAAACATCTGTTGTGTACGAAAACATTCGATGGACTACCACTACGAGAATATGATAATATTGGCCCTTTATGAGCACGAATTGCATCATTGACTTAACAAATTTTAGTTTTATCATGATCACAAACACAAAATTTAAAAATTACAACTTGACACAAGAAACAACATCATTGCTATTACTTTTGTAATCGTTATGAGTGTAAATAAGTTTCTTATTTTTCAGCTTATTTTCTGGAAACAGAATTTTTCAACTAAAAAGCAACACCTTCGCCAATCTTCAGAAGTTGGCTTTCATGTATGTTTCCATTTTTATAACTTGTTTTTTTTTATTTCTTTTGTTCGACCGTATAAAACATTTTATACAATTTCCTTGACAAAGACTAGTCCACATCAATAAAATTATAATAATGCCATATTGTAAACTTATATTCTCAACTGTGGATGAATCCCAACAAAAACAGTTCCCCGCGAAGGTTTTAATATGAAATAGAGCTCATTATTAACAATTGTTCTCTCACATTTTTATGTTTTAATCTTCCAGAGACCTTAGTTTCAACAAGATAATTCGCATGGACAAGCATGCTTTCTTTTCACTACCATCACTCCATACATTGTACGTGCTCTGATAATAAACGAGAAAAATATCAATTCTGTGTAATTGAAAAAATTATTGGTTCCAAAACTTTCAGGAAACTGAACATGAACTTTATGAAAGATATCAAGAAGGAAACATGGAGCGCAGTTGGTACATTACAAATCATGTAAGTATACTAGTCATATTTCTAGACTTACAAAGTTTTTTACGACTAGTACTTGATTTGCAATTCATCTGGAGCAAACAAAAACGCATTGTCCCAAATAATGCATTGCATAAACGGATCTGAAAAAAAGCTTCAGAGAGTCATCGAATCAAAATATCTATTAATAGTTGACTATTAAAATTGCATTGAATTTCATCAGTTGGAATAATTCATCAATTATAGGAGTATTGGAGACAATCTGATTTCTTCCATTGGAAACGAGACATTTTTGGGCTTACGAGGTTTGAAAGCATTGTAAGTTTCTTCCTTTTTAATCATTCCGTTTTTCTTAATATATCTTTTTGATATCATTACTCGTATGAATATCCATATCCACATTCTTGTTTACATATTTACTTTAGTAAGTCAATATTTTTTTCATTTTTAGAAGTCTTCGTGGAAACTTGATCAGGTTCCTTCATGTTGATGCTTTTCATAACAATACGGAATTGAATTCCCTGTAAGTAAATTAAAGTGTCCCCATCGCCGTATATATGTATCACACTTCTTAAAGAGGGTGGAAATTAGGGTTCTCATCTTTTTCAATTGTCTAATAATATCATATATTTAGTATTTGAAGTATCAAAATATATCTGAGTTTAAAATAGAAAGTGGTCAATATCAAATCACTAGGTGTATATAACATAATGTGCCGAGGTTAACAGCAATGACTTTTAAGCACAACCACACGATAAACACGATGGACAACCTTCTACTTTTGATCAGCACATGTCAAACTGCACGTGTCTTTTACAATACAATCATCCCCTTTCGGGGATTGCGTGCGTCATGACATTGCAATACTGTGTGCAAATATATCATGATGGACTTTGATCACCTCATGTGTTTTTTGTTTGTTTGTTTGTTTTTAGACAACTTACCCTTATCATATTCTTATTATAGGTATCTACATGGCAATGAGATTCAAGAAATCCTTCCTGGTCTTTTTCGCAACCAAAAGAAGTTGAGAGTGTTGTAAGTTAATTTAGTCAACATTGTATTTTCTGAAACAACAATAGGACGCACTGGATAATGATCTACAATCGTTGCCAATAGAAAATACCTTGGACCACAAAAGAAATTTCATCTAGCCTTCCTTCTCTCATTTCCTAATTTACAATTGTCCTCCCTACCCCGCTTTAATTCATCGTTTTCGGTCCTGCTTTAGGTGGTTTTGTACTTTATGGTAGCATGCTCAATGATAACGTTGCATTTTAAAAGGAAGCTGAGGGGAGGGGATGATGAAATATACTGAAATTGTCTTCTGCTATTGTTAAGAATAAGGAAATTTACTTGAATGGTCCAACGCATTTTGGCATCGATTCGACAAGTTAACAATTATCTGAAACTATACAACAATACAAAATGACATTAAAATTTCAGAAAATGTCGATGTATGCATGATCAATATTGATATCTAAAAGAAGGTCATCTTTATCATGCCAGATAAGTGAAAAACAAACAGAGACGAACATCGCTTTTTTTCTTGTAACGGGGTGGTCGTGGCGTAATTTGTGAATTCCTTGAAAATAAGTGAAAATGTAATTGTCAAGCAGAACAATTCAAGGAACATGATTGATTATTAGTCTTTTTAGTCGATTATTTGACCACAAGGCAATGCCAACTTGTATTGCATCTTTTATGGATGCACATGTTATTGCTGGTTTTAGGTATCTTCACAGCAACAAGGTTGAAACATTTAGAAAATCATCATTCAAAGGACTCTCGCTTCTTGAAAAACTGTAAGTATCGATTATCATGATAGGCATCCTTGCAGGTAGTCCGTTCGTTTACGCCATAAAACAAACGTTCGTCTATGTAATAGCCTGCGTTACATCCAGTTTTATTTGACAAAAAAAACTGTCTGCGTATTATCGCAGGAATTCGTGTTCTAGACCACCGGCAGAGTTGCGCTGTTATATATAACAGGCTCTCATTGACTGTTGTATTCAACTCAATCTTACGCTTGCGTTCTTATTGGCTAGGTAAATTGATCTATGTTATCTCGAAGCGTTGAGACGTTTACGTTAAACGGTTTGGTTTTACGCCAAAAAAAAACGATTAACGCAAAAGAAAAGCCTCGCCTCTTCGCCGCTCGATGATATAGCAAGCAAAAGAATAGAAGACTCTGGAATCAGGGTAACGGTAAAGATCGACCAATCTGCCATCGAACAGACGACACAAATATTCCTCGGTTCCTCTTCTTGTCAATAACTAATAAGACAAGAAATACCACCAGAACGGCAAATTAATCTGCATATCGGTCAAGAAAGCGAAGTCACTCAGTAAGATTTTGGTATGAGGAACTTATAAACAGATCGCAAATGCCATATGGAAGAGCACTTAAAGAACTAATTAAAATCCCTCGTTCGAACGACCTCTAATCTCTATTACCAAAACATTCAATATTCCGAGTAGGACTAGTTCAAGCTTCGAATTCTTAGCGAATAAGAACGCATGTAAGATTGAGTTGATGCAGCAGCCAATGAGAACCTGTTATGATAACAGATTAAAAAAAAATAAAAGCGGATTTAACGCAGTCGCTATCTAAGTAAAAGCTTCTCTTTTTTTCAGAACGCTTAACAACAATACAATCAAAGAATCAAAAATACCACATGACGCCTTTTCAGAAATGACCAGCCTGAAACACCTGTAAGTTCAGTTGTACAAGCTAGTTCAAAAAGTCACAGAATCATTACCGTTCGAGATCAAGATTAGTAGGTTCCAATGCAAGATACTTAGTTCCCGATGCACTAAATCATACTAATAACCTTTCAGCGAAAAGACTGCTTGTTTGCTTATTAACAGAAGTGACGATTATGATCGATTCATTTGATTTACCAAGGAGGAAAATTTGCATGTGCGTGTCGTCGCATGTGAGAATCACAATTATGATCACTCACACGTGGTACAGAACAAAGTGTCTTTCATCATTTACCCTGCGAGATGAGGATTTTTATACCCCCTTGTACGAAGAAAAATACTCGTCTGCTCGCAGGATAATTCGTCATTTATATTCAGTCACAAAAATATCATTATGAGACACGAGGAAAGTACAGAGCGATTGCCGACTTTGAAAGTATAGAAAATATTGGAAAAAAGTATTTGTTTGCAGAAACCTCTCTTGGGTTGCATCACAACACGAAAACGGTGCATCAGATATAAACTTGAATGTGATCCACGTTTACATTGTAATTTTAATTCTAAAAATAATCATGAAGTAAACCCTGCTCAACTACCATCGAAATGCTGAGTAGCATCCCTTACAATTTCTTTTAAAATAAGCGATTGCCTTATAATTATGTTAATTCAATCAAAATTGATATCATTTGTTTCTCAACAGACAAATAGACAGTTTCATCCTGTGTTGTTATGCTAAAAAGACTATCCCAACACTAATAACATGTGAATCCCAAGGAAATGGTTTTTCCAGCTGCAACGATATGCTGAAAAGCACCGTTATTCGTGTTGCAATATGGATACAAGGCTTGTTTGCTTCGTTTGGTAACCTGGCTGTCATTGCAATTTGGACGGCGACTTCAGACAAAAAGGATTCGACAAAAACAATAAGAAATACACCGAATGTGCAATCTCTACTTTTAAGACATCTGGCTTTGGCTGATCTCCTTATGGGCATATACTTGCTCTTCATAGCGATACAGGATGCCTTATGGAAAGGGGATTACGTGGATCATGACGTTGAGTGGCGTTCGGGAATCTCGTGTCAGATAGCAGGAGCCATATCGACGTTGTCTAGCGAAGTCTCGATACTTATGCTAGTTGTCTTGACTGCAGACCGATTCAATACCATCGTCTTTGACTTCAGAGCTAAACGTCTGACCTTGAAAACTGCTCGTTGTCTTTGCCTCCTCGTTTGGATCATTGGAGCAGCCATAGCATTCACACCGTTAATTGCAACAACCTACTTTCACGATGAAACAACTGGGTTCTCATTCTATGGAAGGTCGACTGTTTGCATTCCTTTTCAGCTTTCCTTAGACAAACCCGCAGGATGGGAGTACTCCGTTGCTATTTTCATGGCTTTCAATGGCGTAGCATTTTTCTTTATTCTTTTTGCTTATGTAGCAATATTCATTAAAGTTCAGCGGTCCGCCAAAAGAGTCAAGTCAACGAGAGACTCTACCTCTCTGGGCACTAAGATCATGTTTATTGTCCTCACTGACTTTTGTTGTTGGATGCCTGTAATCGTTCTTAGTGCTCTGTCACTCATTGGAGAATTCCGCGATTCAACAGGGCAAGTATATGCTGTGATTGCTGTTTTTATCCTTCCAGTAAATTCCTCCATCAATCCTGTCATATACACATTTTCTACTCCACAAGCAAGGAACATATATCATCAACTTGTACAAAGATTACGAACCCAATTCCAGGTATGAATTGATAGATAAAGGCCAATCTCACTAATACAAGTTTAAAATATCATATAAAATGCGTGCAATCTATTGATAGAGTGTTTTGAGACAAATCGTAAAAGCCAATTTGACGTTTGCAGTAAACGTGAATCTAAAACTCTCTAATGAAAATATAAGACATCCAAACATATCGCTGACAGAAGCTAGTGTAGGGAGGGGAAAAAATAACGTAGTATGGGAAAACAATGGGGTTATTTAGGTTACGCATAAATTTAAACTATATAATAAAGTTCCGCCCTCTACTCAAATACCAACTTGACTGAAATATAACCAGATTATGATGCAGGGCAATTGTTTTTGCAACACCGACATGCACGTCGAGAAGATAGTGGTGTGTTCGGTATTTCGGATCCGAATGGACTCAACCTATGTACGTCATAATTAACGAAAAACTAGAATTATTTCTATCATCACAGTGTAACATAACATCTCATGATATAAAAGCATTTTTGTTTTGACAGAAAGTGTCCTGGAAGCGAGAAGTGACTGCTATTACTCCAGCAGTCACAGGGATTAGCACAGAAGGAGGACAACGAGGATCTGCAGTGCAAGATGATCTCGAAATGAAAGACGTTCAGATTACTAGATTTTAGCCAGTAGAGCTGTTCCCAACTGTCTTCTAATAATTCATAGGGAGCATATGTTGGACATTTTAACATCAGATTTCAAAAATCTATTTCTCATGGTTTTGAGGTCATATTATATTATAGAGCCGTACATGTAGTCCATGTAGTTTTCGCAAGAATGTTGTTGAAGAGATTGTTCTTGATTTACTAATTGGATATTCCAAAATTCAAAAAGGGACTGGTAGCTACAAACGTGATGGAGTTTGAAGCAATCAAGAAACGGACGGATTCCATGACATGAATGAAAGTTTAGTTTCCTTTCATGAGCTATATTTGTCAAAACTGGTTACCAGCGACAAATTTAGGAAAAAAGAACTCTCCAGGCAAGGAATACTTTCTAAGAATATTTGCCAGGAAAATAAAAATTTCCTAAGTAAAAAAATGCCGTTTTTGATCCTCATAACGTTATATAACCCTTTTTTGACCTTAAAAACGTTTTCCAGGAACAAAATTATTTTTAAAGAAGGAAGGGCGCCGCATTTGCTTGTCAAAATTGTCAAAAATGTAAGCTCAAAACCTTTTTCCCAGGAAAACATTCGTGCAAGAACACGGTTATTTAGAAGAACAGACCCCGTCGGCTACTCCTGAGGAGGAGATCAATTCTGTGTCTGAAAGCTTTCAGCTTCCGGCACGTACAACATTTCTTGAAAAATAACTATATGTATCTTAGTGATAACTGGACTCGTCAAAACAGATCTATATAGGATAAACATAATCCAACGTTGATGTGTAAACAGCTGAGCTCAATAAATCGAACAGCAAAGTGTAGAATATCAAGTCTATAAAAATAATTGACTTAGTTCAATTAGTCTTGATTTAATCACAGGCAACCCAAGCTCATTACATAATATCTATATGTGGCTTCAACGGTCAAAATTTGATTTCTTTAAGTTTGTGTTTTTAAGAATAAAAATGACTCACCTTGATAACTTGTTGTGTCTTTTATCATTTGGCGGAATTTGAAGCCGTTAGGAAGCGATTTCATCTGGTTTTCGAATTTTCTTTCCCCCTCCTATAAAAAATGACAAGGCCGAACACTCATTTCGCCAACGGACTCAACTTCGAGGTCAATAAATCCCTGAAAAAATAAAGCCACGACCACAATTTTGAGTCACAACCACGAAGAGATACCACTGCTTCTTCCCATTATGATCAAAGGGCCATTCCTGATGAAATCCCCATGCCAGAACGAAAACTCTGCAAGTTCAAAACCACTTTCCGTTACGGCTCACAGCTCGGACAGCCGCCATAGACACCTCGAAGCGCGCGTTGTATGACGGTCAGGTTTTGTCACTAGTACCAGGGGTAGAGACAGCGTCAGATTTCCGGAATTTAGCGGGGGTCCCCTGGTGCGCAGCTCAGCCAATCAGAAATCAGAAGAGGTGTTGTTTCGTTGGGGGAAAGCCATTTTCACGTCAAAACTTATCAAAGTCGTCGTCAAATTCGTCAAACTCCAAATCTTTTTTAACTTTGTAACTTTTCAGAAGAATAATGTCCTCGATAACTTAGCGAAATGTAAGTATCATCATATTTTATATCTATATCTGTTATTATCGCAAACAAAGCCATGCAAGGCATATTTTCGCGAAACTTGAGCATCGTCGATAAAATTTTGACACGTCCTTTTGTATTGATCAGGATTCAACTAAACTCGGACCAGGAGGAAATATTCCAGTTTGCCTCTAAAGGCCATAATCTGCTTACAACAGGTCAAGCCGGAGCTGGAAAAATCAAAGTTGTGACTAGAATCATTAGAGACTGAGATCTCAAGGCAATGATGTAGGTGTTGTCACAGGCAACCCAAGCTCATTACATAATATTTATATGTGAGCTGCGCACCAGGGGACCCCCGCTAAATTCCGGAAATCTGACGCTGTCTACCCCTGGTACTAGTGACAAAACCTGACCGTCATACAACGCGCGCTTCGAGGTGTCTATGGCGGCTGTCCGAGCTGTGAGCCGTAACGGAAAGTGGTTTTGAACTTGCAGAGTTTTCGTGAAGATTGTAGAAAAGAATGCAGCCTTCACGATGAGAGGAAATTGTCTTGACATCTGCAAGTTCCAGTGCTTTTGTTTCTGCTTTCTCAGTTGTGTTGAATTTAAGGGACAAGAGATCTCTCAAAGCACGTGCTCGCCCATGTTCACATACTAAGAGAGCTTCTTCACTTTGTCTTGTTTTGATGTAGACTTGGCTGAGGAGCTTGTAGGTTTTGATGAATGTATCGACAATTGAAACCTTGAATTGGTCATTGTCTTTTAAATCATCAAACAAATTCTCCTAGCATTGCATGCTCTTCTCTAGGTGTTGTTTTGATTTGCTGAGGTCTTTAAAGCTCGATTCCAACTGATAAACATAACCTTAAATAGACAGACGATTACCTTAGAATTAGACTTACATGTACTATCTTAACCCTATTCAGACTGGGCTTTTTTTTCAATCTGTGGCTGGGGGGGGGGGGGGGCTCATTCGGCCCCCCCTCAATATCTTCGGAACCAATACGTCTATGAGCATGAAATTATCACAGAATGGTCGCCCACGTAAAACAAAACATCACACCCAGTCTTGACCCGTGGGAACCAAATGTGACGTCATAATGACGTCATTTTAACCATTTTAACGATTTATAATTCATTTTAATAAATTGCCTACAATTCCATAGATAATGCTGTAATATCATCTGTTTATTATTGAAATGACTTGAAAATAATATTTTTGCATTTTTTAATTGACCCCTATTCTATATGACGTCACAATGACGTCATAGATATCAGGTAATTTTTATAAATTATATATCTATATCTAGATAACCAGTTAAATATCATATTTAGGCGTTACTGCTCTCCTATGATGTTGTGGTTCGTTTTGTATCCATGGCAACAGTTGTGACGTCATAATTGTGATGACGTCATTTCCTATATTGTCTTTGTCGTCTTTGAATAATTTGACTCCAAATGTCACTTTTTTTTGTCTACATCGTTTTTTTATGGTAAAATTTACAATTTGAGAAGTTTTTGAAGTTAAACAATTTGGAACAAGCAATTTTGAGAAGAATATCCGCCATCTTAGGATCCGCCATCTTGGACCGCCATCTTGAATTTTCTAAAATGCCATTTAAAAACTAAGCATTGAGGCAAACAGCTCAAAATGTCTCAAATACTTCTCAAACTAACATTTAATGAATAAAAAAGTGAGTTTCGAAGTGTTACTGATGATTTTAATCAAATTTTCTCCCATGTGAAACAATGACAGAAAACTACCCACCCCTCCCCCCAAAGTTTTTGTTGTCGAAAAAGTATTATGGTATTGTAGATTCAGCAATAGGAGCAAGCTCAAATAGGTGAAAGATGCATAATATAGCAAGAAATAAGCTTTAAAAATGAAAAATTAAGCATATTTTACATTTTTGAAAACCTATGTGTCAAAAACTGGTTGCCATGGCAACATGGATGACGTTATCAACAAAAAAATTACATCAAAATCTGCCCAGATAAATTTTAGGAAAAGTCCGAAAGTTTCAGAGCTCTAGCTGTCTTGGTTCGAAAGTTATTGGCTTTTTACGCGAGGGGGGGCTCAAAAGGCCCCCCCCAGTCTGAATAGGGTTAAAAATGTTCACGTGATCGATATTTGTAGAATAAGCCAAGGTCGTCCTAAATGGGGAACTCCCCACAGTATGGAGTTATCAAATTATTATTTGGGTTTCGTCTAATTTTGTAAAACGTATATAAAGCAATGTAACAGAGTAGTAGTAGTTAGTCCGTCCAGAGCGTCAAACAAGCATGTAGTAATAAAGCAGAACACAACAGAAACTAAGAGGAACGTTTTCACTGCCGCGACGGTCCCTTGTGGTCCAACAGTATTTATT